AATAAGTATGGTGAAATGATACAACCCTGATGTATACCCTTCCTGATTCTAAACCATGCAATATCCCCTTGTTCTGTTTGAATGACAGCCTCCTTTTCTATGTACAGTTTCCTCATGAGCACAATTAAGGCTATCGGATTCCCATTCTTCTCAATGTTACCTATAATTTCATATGATCCACATAGTCCGATGCTTTTGCATAGTCAATAAAACACAAGTAAACATCTTTCTGGTATTGTTTGCTTTCAGCCAAGATCCATCTGACACCAGTAATGGTATCCCTCATTCCACATACTTTTCTGAATCCAGCTTAAATTCCTGAAGTTCCCTGTCAATACACTGCTGCAATCGTTTTTAAATTATTTTCAGCAAGATTTTACTTTCATTTGATATTAATGATATATTGTTCAATAATTTCCACATTCTTTTGGATAACCTTTCTTTGGAATGTGTACAGTCAGTTGGCCAGGTAGATGGCTTTCAAATTTCTTAGCATGGACAAGTAAGTAGATACTCTAGCACAGCATCTATTTCTTGAAAGATCTCAATGGGTCTACCATCAGTTCCTGGAGCCTTGTTTTTCACCACCTTCAGTGCAGATTTGACTTTTTCCTTCAGTACTATTGGTTCTTGATCATATGCCACCTCCTGAAATAGTTGAACATTGATCAACTCCTTCTTGTACAGTGACTCTGTTGGAACTAGACAGCTAGTATTTTTTCTAATATTTCTTAGTGTGAAAGCTTTGGTGAAACCTGTTCAGCATCATAACAACATGGAAGCTTCCAGTGACAGTAGTTAAGTGGTGGCTAAGCATGAAGTTCATTGATGAGAAATGGCCCTGGTGTCCTGTGTGGAAGGCAAGAATTCTACTACTGAGCCACTACTGCTTCCTAGTATTTTGTAAACAGCTGCTTATTTGGCACAGAATATAACTGAATGGTGTTGTCAGAGAAAAGAAGATCTTCAAGGACTGGATCAGTCTAGGAACTAAGAGGAAAGGACTCTTGGAGCTATGTCTTGAAGAATGTGCTAAAAACCAAAACCCGTTTCTGTGCTATCAAATCCACTCATGGTGACCCTATGTTTGTGAGAGGTGAATTATGCTTCACAGGGTTTTCAATAGCTGATTCTTCATAAGTACATTTCTAGGTCATTTCTCCTAGTGCCTCTGGGTGGACTCAAACTTTTAACTTTTCAATTCGTAACCAAGCACTTCACTATTTATGTTAATATTGAATGTATTATGCACTGCCAAAAGTATGAACAAATCTGTCTTGGATGAACAGCCAGAAGGCTTCTTAGAAGTGAGGATGGTAAGAGTTCATCTCACTTACTTTAGATATGTTATTAGGAGGGACCTTTCCCTGTAGAAAGACATCATACTTGGTAAAATAGAGGGTCAGCAGAAAAAATGGAAGACCCTCAACATAATGAATTGGAACAGTGGTTGCAACAATGGGCTCAATAATAGAAACATTTATGAGAATTGTACGGGACCACCAGTGTTTTGTTCTGTTATAATAAGGTCACTATGACTTGGATCTGACTTGACAGCACCTAACAACACAAACAAAAACATAATGGAAAATATAAACCAAATGGATTTGAGTCTATAAACTGTTTTTTCCATCACTTCTATTCCTGTTATCTAACTCCTCATCCTTTCTTTGCCCTTAACTCCTCTCTTAATATTTCTCTACTCTCTCTATTTTCCCTCCTTATTCCCTCCCTTCTTATCTCTTATTCTCTTTCCTTTCTCAGCTCTACTTTTCTCATTGTGGGCTCTATTTCCAGAGAT